CTTAAATAAATGAATGTTCAGCCCAAAATAATATAAAAAACGTGAAAATCACTAAAACTAACCTAAAGTAATATGAAATATCAGCTTGTTACAAATTGCGACAAAATTGCAAGATTGACGCAAACTGTGTAATTTAGCATGAATGAGCTCAATTAAGCTTCTTTTGAACCTGAATGACGTTTATCATGCCTTGCTAATCATCCAAGCTTTGATTTATTTCTTGCATGTTGTTATCAACCCAGATCTACTCAATAAGGCCATTTAAAGCTTTTCGCATCTTCCTAACTCTAGCTCGCGTGATTGGACCTCCTTGGGTGTGTAATGGATCACATGACGTAGTAGATATGTTGTCGTCTTGATTCCCATCACATACCCAAAAAAACCTACACACCAATCACGTTGGGTCCTAGATTTTTTTTAATAAAGACACTTCCCTAACCCAATATAGACGTCAAAATCCGTATTCAACCCACAAAGACATCATAGCGGTGAATCACTTCCCATCTCGATATTTGCCCCCACCCCTCCCCTTCGACGTGTTACTAATTAAATTGCATTTTAAATCTACATTTCAAGTCTGCCCTTGGAAACATCAAAAACACACACACACACACACACTTCCACAGTGGCTGTGCTTCTCTACCTCTAGACTCTTGGATTTGATTTCTAGAAACTAGATCGATCACCAACTTGGTGGATTCCTGTGAGTCCTTCAAGTTTTTCGATTTCTCAACTCTTTTTTTTTTTTTTTTTTGTTCTTCCTTGTTAATTCTCAATTTCGCATGTTTTGCTTTTGATTTTGCAGTAATTCGTGTAGTTTCTGAAGTCACAATGGAGGTTTTATTGCTGTTGAGGTGTGGAGAAAATGTAGGGTTTGAAATTGAAATCCATGGGTTTAAGGATGAATTTGAAATGCACAAATTTTAAGTCTTTCTAATAACCTGGGTAAAATACATGCATTTTACTTAAATCCAATTACATTTTGTTTCATTTTGTTTAGGTAAAAACAAACAGTAATATTGAATTTGAAGTGTTGAAATTCAAATACACCCTATCAAATTCATGTTCCCAATGGGATTTAAGTAAAATATATGTATTTTACCCAGGTATTTTAAGGACTTAAAATCCATGTATTTCAAATTCATCCTTAAACCCATTGATTTCAATTTCAAACCCTGCATTTTCTCCGTACCTTGACGACGATGAAGCCTCCATTGTGACTTTAAAAACTACACGAATCAGTGCAAAATTAGAAGCAAAACATGCAAAACCGAGAATTAATAAAAAAGAACAAAAAAAAAAAAGAGTTGAGAAATTAGAAAACTTGAAGGACTGATGGGAACCCAAAAAGAACAATGAGACCCACAGCATGGCAAGGGATTTCTAAATTCCAAGAAAGCCAAATCAGGTTAATAATAAGACCTTGACCCGTTGTTTATGTCGCAACAAGAACCAAAGGTAAAACCCTTGACCCATTGTCTATGATGAAACAAAGACCAGAGGTATAAAGTTGGTTGACACCACACCCTCAAACGATTAAGAACAAGAATGATAAATCAGGTTAGAACGCCACAAGAATAATCATGATAAGTTCTATAAAGTTCTGAAACGAATTAAAGAGAAAAATCTCTCAAAAACTCAGATTCAATAGCTCCCTCCAATTAGGGTTACAATCTTTTTAAATAAGGAAAAGTAATTATAATTAGAATAGGAAACTAACACCCTAAACCCTAATCCTAATAACCACGAATTGGGCCTCAAATAAATAAATGTTTAGCCCAAAATAATACAAAAAATGTAAAAATCACTGAAAGTAGCCTAAAGTAAGATGAAATATTAGTTTGTTATATAAATTGCGATAGAATTGCTGGATTTTGATGCAAACTGTGTAATTTAGCATAAATGACCTCAATTAAGCTTCTCTTGAACTTGAATGATGTTTACCATGCCTTGATAATCATCCAATCTTCGATTTACTTATTGCATGTTGTTATCAACCCAAATCGGCTCAATAAGACCATTTAAAGCTTTTCGCATCTTCCTAACTCTAGCTCTCGTGATTGAACCTCCTAGAATGTGTAATGGATCTCTTGACGTGATACATGTGGGGTCATCTTGATTCCCATCAAGGACTCACTAAAATCTGCCAAGTCGATGGTCGATCTAGAGTCTGGAAATCAAATCCAAGAGTCTAAAGGCAGAGAAGCACAACAACTATGGAAGTGTTTGTGTGTTTTCAATTTTTCAAAGGGCGAACTTGAAATGTGGATTTAAAATGCAGTTTAAGTAGTAACATGTCAGAAGGGAGGGGGTGGAGGCAAATATTGAGATGGGAAGTGATTCACCGCTATGATCATTTACAGGTTAGATACGAATTTTGACGGATGTGATTGGGTTAGAAGTATCCTTATTAAAAAAATCTGGGACCCAACATGATTGGTGTGTAGGTTTTTTTGGATATTGATGAGAACCCCAAAGAGAACAATGAGACCCATAGCACAACAAGGGATTTCTAAACTCTAGGAAAGCCAAATCAGGTTTATAATAGGACCTTGACCCATTGTTTATGTCGTAACAAGAACCAAAGGTAAAAACTTTGACCTGTTGTCTATGACACAACAAGAACCAGAGATATATTGGTTGACGCCACACCCTCGAATGATTGATGTAAATCCAGGTTTGACTTTAAAGGATTCAATTTAAGTTCCTGTTGGACCAATTATGATGATGAGAACCCTAAAGAGAACAATGAGACCCACAGCACGACAAGGTATTTCTAAACTCCAGGAAAGCTAAATCAGGTTTATAATAGGACCTTGACCCGTTGTTTATGTCGCAACAAGAACCGAAGGTAAAAACCTTGACCCGTTGTCTATGATGCAACAAGAACCAGAGGTATAAATTTGGTTGACGTTACACCCTCGAACGATTAAGAACGAGAATGATAAGTCAGGTTAGAACGCCACAAGAATAATCTTGATAAGTTTTGTAAAGTTTTGAAACGAACCAAAGAGAAAAGTCTCTTAAAAAACTCAGATTCAATAGCCTCCTCAATTAGGGTTATAAGCCCCTTTAAATAGGGAAAAGTAATTCTAATCAGAATAGGAAACTAACACCCTAAACCCTAATCATAATAACCATGAATTGGGCCTTAAATAAATGAATGTTCAGCCCAAAATAATATTAAAAAAACGTGAAAATCAGTAAAAGTAGCCTAAAGTAACATGAAATATTAATTTGTTACAAATTGCGACAGAATTGCGAGATTGACGCAAACTGTCTAATTTAGCATAAATAAACTCAATTAAGCTTCTCTTGAACTTGAATGATGTTTATCATGCCTTCATAATCATCCAAGTCTCGATTTACTTCTTGCATGTTGTTATCAACCTAGATCTGCTCAATAAGGCCATTTAAAGCTTCTCGCATCTTCCTAACTCTAGTTCTCGTGACTGGACCTCCTGGAATTGTTAATGGATCTCTTGACGTGGTACATGTGGGGTCATCTTGATTCCCATCATTCCCTCTCTCCTCAAAAGGATTTGTCCTCAAATCGTCACCTACATCAAAAGGAGAAAGATCAGAAACATTAAAAGTGGCACTAACATTATACTCACCAGGAAGCTCCAACTTGTATGCATTGTTGTTTATCCTTGCAATCACTTGAAATGGTCCATCGCCTCTTGGTTGCAACTTAGAATGCCTTTGTGCAGGGAATCGCTCCTTCCGCATATGCACCCAATCTCCAGGTTCAAACACAACTTCCTTGCACCCTTTGTTGGCCTGATTTGCATATTGCTCAGTTCGTCGCTCTTGCATCAAAACAGTGCCAATGCCAATACCTGATGCATCATCACATTCAATTTCAAAAGTTTTAGTAAAATCAGGTAAAGCAAGTAATGGTGCTGAAATTAAATTCTCCTTAATCAAATTGAAAGCATTCTCCTATTCACTTTCCCACTTAAATCCAACACTTTTTTTTCACGATTTCAGTCAATGGAGCTGCAATTGTGCTGAAGTCCTTGATGAATCTCTGGTAGAAACTTGGAAAACCATGAAAACTCCACACCTCATAAATATTCTTAGGTGTTGGCCATTCTTTAGCCTTACTCTTTTCTTCGTCTACTGCAATTCCATCAGCTGAAACAACAAACCCTAAAAAGACAATCTGATTTGTGCAAAAGGAACACTTTTTAATGTTAGCAAGCAAGTTTTCTTTTCTCAAAACCTCTAATACCATTCGCAGATGCTTAATATGATCAGTTAAACTCTTACTATATATCATAATGTCTTCAAAATAAACAACCACAAATTTGCCAATGAAAGCACACAAAACATGATTCATTAATCGCATGAATGTACTAGGCGCATTAGTTAATCCAAATGGCATAACTAACCACTCATATAAACCATGTTTCGTTTTAAAGTCTGTTTTCCATTCATCTCCTTCCTTCATCCTAATCTGATGATATCCACTCTTTAAATCAATTTTAGAGAATATGCAAGAACCATGCAACTCATCTAACATGTCATCTAATCTAGGAATAGGGTGACGATACTTTACAGTGATTTTGTTGACTGCACGACAATCAACACACATACGTCAAGTCCCATCCTTCTTAGGCACAAGTAGCACTGGAACTGCACATGGACTCATGCTTTCTCTCACATGTCCCTTGTTCATGAGTTCTTCAACCTGCCTTTGAAGTTCTTTCGTCTCATTGGGATTGCTTCGATATGCTGGTCGGTTTGGAATTGTTGCACCAGGAATGAAGTCAATTTGATGTTCGATTCCTCTTATTAGTGGTAAACCATTAGGAACATCATCTGGAAACACATCCTTGAAGTCCTGCAAAAGAGATTTAACAACACTAGGCAAAGAATCATTAAGCTCGTTAGTGTTGAAATAAGCATCTTTATACAGAAGCACAAACATAGGCTGGTTTGCAAAGAATGCAGCCTTGACATCACTTTCTTTTGCATAAACACTCACTGATTTTCTCTCTTTGTTTTCAAC